AAAAACCCTGTAAAGGCATTTTTTTTTTTTTTTTTTTTTTTTACTAAAGGACCATTTTAAAAATGACTGTCTCTTGCATCATCAAAGGGTTGGTAAATGCCTTCATTTGAGCTTTAAATTACAGTAACACAAAACCACATTGGCCGAGAACTGAGTGTTCACATACCACTGATCACCCGGCTCACAGTCTTCTACCGGCAGAGAGCAGTGACTGTCCAGTCACCACTTCCCGCAGGGATTCCCCTTCCCCGGTCCTCCAGCACTCATAGCACTCATTGGAGGGACAGACAGGGGAGAGGATGGGCACAGCTGCCTGTAAAGAGACGGAGCCAGCTGCCAATAAGGCAGCCGGATGGATGCCGACAATATAATCAGGATCTTTCCTGACTGCAGCTTGATTCTGCACTCTGCATATAGCTGAGTTTTAGTGAGCATAGAACGGGCAATAGCCTGCTATATGCTGACATTAGTAAATGTCCTCCTGTGACCCAAAAGGGAACTAATGCCAAAAAAGTTTGGCCATAGTTCTCTTTTAGTCATTAAATGTATTTTTTAATGCAAGCAGTATAACTAAATTTGATTTGCTTTCAGTCTCTTGCATTACCTGCGAAGATGAGGAAGGACAGGTGCTGTGTGTGATTAGTACGTAGCCCCTGTCCTTCTCTATGGGAATACGTGGCCATACGCCCACCCTACGCTCACCAAGTGCAGGTCTGTACGGGTGCGTGTGTGATCCATCCTGTCAGCATACGAGTACGCTCACCCGCGCTGACGTGCAGGGCTGGTGAGCCTAGGGCCGCCTAGTCCCATAGAAAAGGGCGGGCTGCGTACTAATCATACACAGCACCTGTCCTTCCCGGGAGCTGCCCGATACGGCTGTGCACGGAGATGTACATGCCGGCCGATTCCCATGTGAATAAGCCCTTAAAAAGTACAACTGTTATCTAAAAAAACAAATTGTTTGGCCAGTGGAGGAATATGTTCCCTTGCACTTTATATGCCCCTGGCTACTAAACCTTACCAATTGATCCCAGTGTTGAATCCTATTTTATTAATGGAGATAAATTGGGACTTTCACAGTGTCAGTGCAGAGATACAGTCCATGATCATTACCACAAAGCAAAAGTATCCTTGGCCAAAAGTACCCCTCTGCACAGGAAGAGAGATCTTCTTTTTAGCTTGGCGTTCTGGCACCTAGGACATCTTTTGTACCCAGTTATAAGGGTTACCATGAGAGCAATCAACAAATATTTAACACATCTCTTGTTTTTGTTTTTTTTAATTTACTAGACATTGCATTCTGGGCTACAGAAACAAGTGCGGATAAAGGCTTCACAGTCTTTGGGAGATGTTAACGCGGCTTACCACCCCCCGGAGTCCCGCAGCCGTCACCTGTCTGTCAGTAAGTCATGTGATCAGTTATGTCATGGTCCTCACATCACAATATTTAATTTGTTGTCACAAACCTAAGAAATCTGTTAAGATAACTGTTTGTCTTTTTATAATTTTCTGTCAGTGGAACTAGAAAATGGCTGGGTTGGAAAAAAATGAATCTGTGTATTGTTGTCCCAGAAGTCTGTGGTTCATGTTATATGCCTCGGATTCAGCATCAAATATGTCTGAACTATTTGTAAAATATAGTTTTATTAAACCCTTCTTTACTCTCAGGTTCCCAGAATGCCGGCCGCAGTTCGCCTCCTCCCGGCTATGTTCCAGAAAGGCAACAGAGGATAGCACGTCAGGGTTCCTATACTAGCATCAACAGCGAGGGAGAGTTCATCCCTGAGACCAGTGACCAATGTGTAAGTGTGGAAATTGCATGGTTAATTTCCTAGCCAAGTACCTGCGTAGTAAGCAGTCAATGGAAGTAGCTAGACCACATGACAGTTCTGGGGTAGTGGCATCACTCACCCTGAACTGAATAGCCGAATAAGGTTCAGTACCATTGGCACAGAACATTTGTATGTGGCCCTGCAGTTTTGGAATAACTCTTTGCATCTTGAGTCTTCTCACATGGCCATTTTGTGCTGCAACAGATGCCTTTTATACTGGCTTGCCCCTTCCCCAATGATGCTCCTCTCATTGTAATTTTCTTTTTGTGTTGTATCTCAAATTCAGATGTTGGATCCACTAAGTAGTACAGAGAATTCCATATCTGGGAGTTGTCAGTCTTTAGATCAATCTGAGGACAGGTAAATGGTTGGGTTCTGTGCTGTCCTGGTTATGTACAGATTCCTGCCCTGGATGTTGTATTGACTTGTGTTTTTTAATGTGTTTCCTCAAAGTCCCTCTTTCAGAAAATCTCGGATGTCTCGGGCACAGAGCTATCCAGACAACCGGCAAGATTTCTCAGGTACTAAAGTGAAGCTTTATGTTCAGTTATCATCTCATGCAGAGGTGAGGCTCTGCCAGACTATTGATTACTTTATTTCTTCCATAGCAGATCGAGAGAACCAATTCTTTGATAAAGCAGGGAAGGGAGGAACTTACCCCCGAAGATATCATGTATCTGTTCACCATAAAGATTACAATGATGGTGAGTGCTCTGGGTTCTACAGTAAGATTGCCATAGCCAAATCCCCGACTCTCTTGAGGCTGGTTTGCTTATTTTACTATCTCGCTGGAGCTAGATTGCTTTGTTTTTTTTTAACAGGAGTTCAACATTTTATTCTGCTGTGACCAGAAACAAATTCCTTAGCATCTGGCGAACACTTACAAAGCTTAAAAGTTGCCTCTCAGTAAGGGAGCTGCCATTGATTACTTGTTTTTTTGAAGGTGATATCACCCTGGTTTCACAACGTGGTAAGTGACTGACCCCCAACAAGCAGTCAAGCTGTAAAGTATCGGGCCCCCTGAAATGTACATGCTTTTTTGAGGATCAGGGACTCGCCAAGTAGTGAGGCAAGTCATTGATGGCAGCTCCCATACTGACAGGTAATCTTTAAGCTTCTCGACAGTGGCACGTTTTTAAGGTCTTGACAGGCTCCCTTCTAAAGAAGAATTGTCACTAGAAGGTGAACATCATTCTAGAATCCCCCAGGGGACCTATTTCACGTAGCACTGGGTCCTGTGATGACATTAAGCTCCGTGTAGTGATTTGGAAATAAAAATCATTTATTTTTCTGTTTGTGCTGTAGCTCCACCTGAGGCTGAAGCCCAATTTATGGATGTTCTTATGGGAGAGCTACACCCAGCACTGATCACCCGCCCCGTCTATAAGCTGTTACAGAGATGCGGGCTTATAGTAATTATACATGGTACCGGCTGATATATCACAACCCTGACGGCACTGACTGTTCATTTACAAATGTAATAAAGCAGTCAGCGCTGTTGGGGCTGTGATTTATGTTTACTGGCAGCTGGGAGCTTTGTCACACAGCCCCGCTGCACTGATTGTACTGTCATATGAGTAGTCGGGGCTGTGTGACAGAACCCGTAACTGCTAGAAAACATGCACTGCACCGGCATATAGGCCACACAGACCTGCAGCGCTGACTGATCTAGTGCCTTGTGTATGAATGGAGCTGACCTTCCCCATGCTGTGGTAAAGGACAGTGCTGGTCTCAGGAGGGCCCCTGCTGCCAGAGGCCAGCACTGTCACTCACACTATTCGTCTCCTTGCTAGCAGGATGGTCCAAAAACTGTTGGGCAGAGGTGGCAAACTGTCCAACCACAGGATGGATCAGTAAGGGATCATGTGACCTTCCCCACTTGTTCTCACGATGTAGTGCTGGGCGCCATGAAGGCCAATCACCAGGCCTGAGGATGGCCTCCCAAGGACAGGTGGAAGGTCCTTATCTGTTGCTGAGCATACACAAGCCTTTCTACTCCAGGTTCCAGTAGAGAAATGAAGCTGCAAGGGGGCATATATGAATAGCAGAGGGAGTGGGCTATAAAAGGGAGCTTGTTACTTTTCCCTGCATGGACATGGAGTTATGGGTTCACATTCAAATCCTTTGCAGCCACATCAGGCCCTAGACAGAAACAAAATGACGAATACCACTTAGCTGCTAGAGTAAGGGTTAATACCGCATTCTTTCAGGTGTATCCAGCTTGCCTTTTAAGTAAGTTTGAGATTATGCCTTCTTCAGAGGTGACCTATGACTTCCTTTTGTGAGCTGCATCCACCTTCTTGTTTCCATTGACTTTTATAGGGAGTTCTGCAACACACTCCCATGTACGCGCGGTCCCTTAATGAGTTTCAGTTTGTCATTCTTTTGTTTGTGTTCTCTTCTAATTCCTACAGGCCGCAGAACATTCCCACGAATTAGGCGACCTCAAGGCAATCTTTTTACCCTTGTGCCATCCAGTCGCTCGTTAAGCACCAACGGGGAAAACCTGGGTTTAACCGTACAGTACCTAGAAACCCGAAACCGACTGCGCAGTGCGGACAGTGAAAATACGCTTGGTGTACCAGAGAGGAACATTGCCACAAAATGTAAGGCACAGTGCTCTGAAATGTTGTGTCCCACCCACCTGTATTTACCACATGACAGCTTTCCTTTAGGGTAGGGTTTCCCAGAACCCTAGGGCTCCTTCTGAGGTTGTGTGGGGTTCCTTGGGCAATGGTGGATTTATCTCCCACCTACACTGACCAACAATGCAAGGAAGATGTTTTCCACTAACCATCAATGTAAGGAGTCATTAATGCTGATAGTAAAAATTGTGAGACCTCCAATATCAATGGTCTGCCTCTCCTTATTGTTTATCATAGAATATTAGGGAAAATAATTTTGTAGGGGTTAGTAGGAACATTATCTGCCCCTGGTGTTTAAATATACTAGGTACACCACATTACTTATTAGGTACTGTATTCGCCGGCGTATAAGACAGGTTTTGAAACCTTAAAACATCGCCCGAAAATCGGGGGTCGTCTTATACGCCGGGTACATACGGAAGGATACGGTATACTGTATGTAGCTTCGGCTACATACGGTATACTGCGCTGAGCCAATCATGGCATGCTTTGTATTAATGAATACAAAGCCTGTATTCATTTAATACAAAGCCTGACGTGATTGACTAAGCGGAAGACTGAAGATACAGCGGGGATCGTGGACAAGGTAAGAGACTGTAATCCCGAGTGTGGCTCGGGGTTACCGCTTATGGTACTGAAAATTAACCCCGAGCCACACTCAGGAATACCGCCATGGAGGTTAGTGGGTGCATTTAAACATTATTTTGGGCTATACTCGTCTTATACGACAAGTACATTACATTCTTTTGTTTAAAACCCTTTTCTACTTATTAGTCATGTTGATATATCATGAGCTGTAGGTAAAAGGGGTTCCCCAAGACCTGAAAGTAATTCCAAGAGTTCCACAGGGCTAAAAGGGAGGGAAGAGTTCTTTTTGAATAATGAATCATTTGGAAGCCAGAGAGTATGAGCATATTGTAAATGTCACCGTGTTCCTTATAACTTTGTCAACTCTACGTCCATATATGATCTTTTCTAATGGCATTTTATTTCTTATCTCCAGCTCCGAGTGCCCCAATAAACTGGCGTCGGGGTAAACTGCTGGGACAGGGAGCATTTGGTCGTGTGTACCTGTGTTATGACGTTGACATAGGAAGGGAACTGGCAGCTAAACAGGTTCAGTTTGATCCGGACAGCCCTGAAACCAGCAAGGTCATTACAGTGCTTTCTTACCTTCTCTTTGCTAAATGTGTCTTCTGGTAAAGGGGATTCTTCATGCAGAGTTGTTTGATTTTCACACACAAAGGATGCAGCCAATATATATAATTTATTGCTCTTATGTCACACTCTCATGCCTATGCAGAACTGGCACTTTGGAAGATGATGTAAATAAGCCATATTGAGAATGTGGAATGACCTGCACCCAATATTATTATTCTTGTGTTGCAAATTGACATAAAATTGACCATTTTACTGGGGAGGGGGGGGGGGCCCCAGTGACGGTTCAGTCCGTCACAATGCTGCCCTAGGCGGTGTGTCCATAACAGCCTGTGTTCAAAGGAAATGGGTTAAATGATGCTTGCTGTCATTTAACGCAGAAGGGGAGCGCTATCTTCTGGCAAAAAACAATTACTGCAGGCAATTACTCCAGGTGAAGGGGAGTATTCAGCAAATGCTGCTTTATTTCCTCTTTTTAATGGGCTATTCTTTTTTGTTTTAGCTGTACTTTAACGTCTGTGTGTAATTTCTGTTCTCTGCACTCTTCACAGGAGGTTAGTGCTCTGGAGTGTGAGATTCAGCTGCTGAAGAATCTCCATCATGACAGGATAGTGCAGTATTACGGCTGTTTACGGGACAAAGGGGAGAAGACCCTGACTATTTTCATGGAGTATATGCCTGGGGTGAGCTTCTAAAGTACAAGGAGCTTTATATTCAAGTTTGCGCTGTTTCCTTTCACTTACAGGATATATTCCATCCCTTAGGGGTCAGTAAAAGATCAGCTGAAAGCCTACGGGGCCTTGACGGAGAATGTTACTCGTAGATATACCCGGCAGATCCTCGAGGGTATGTCTTACCTGCACAGCAATATGATTGTACACAGAGACATCAAAGGTATTTTATTGTTTCTTTTTTTATATCAGCACTTCTAACAGTTAAATTCTAACAAATATTGCTTTAGAATGTGTCTGCTGTTTGTATCTTACTGGACTCCTGAAGCTGAAACGTAATGACCTAACTGATGAAGTGTCTGGCCATGCCACAGGCGAATAACAACATGTCACCATAACATTGTAGCTATGTATCTATACATTTAATGTCACATGCTCTGTAGGTCAAAAAATGAGTCCCATCTCCTGCCCCTCCTCATTGCTATGATTAAAGCCAGTGGTTGGTGAAATGCGTCAGTGGAGCAGATTCAAGTGAGCCTGCAAGTGGACGGTTTAACACTCTATTCCAAACCGTGCACCAGAACCAGATCTGTGTAATATGTGCAGCAGCATAGTTCTCTTCTGTGTCTTTGTGACTGTCTAGCGTGCTGTGTCTTTGTGACTGTCTAGCGTGCTGTGTCTTTGTGACCCGTCTAGCGTGCTGTGTCTTTGTGACCCGTCTAGCGTGCTGTGTCTTTGTGACTGTCTAGTGTGCTTGTTGTCTTAAGCCTTGCCTGTTCTGTGTGTAACTTTTTTTTTTTTTTTTGTTCACAGGGGCCAACATCCTCCGAGACTCTGCAGGGAACGTCAAGCTGGGTGATTTTGGTGCAAGCAAACGCCTCCAGACTATCTGCATGTCAGGAACGGGAATCCGCTCAGTAACCGGGACGCCATACTGGATGAGCCCGGAAGTGATCAGCGGGGAGGGTTATGGGAGAAAAGCAGATGTCTGGTAAGTAGACGGTAGCTGGACCCGGCTACATGTTGATTCAACATAGAAGCCAGCTTGTCCTAACTGGCCGCTTTCTTTCGTCTGACTGGCTGGTTTAGCCTGAACAGCACAATGGCGGCTTGTATTCTGAAACAAGGGGAAGTAAGTTTCAGGTCTATGTTTCGTTTTTTCTTTTTAACCCTGAATGATGGGAGGGGGTCCTAAACTAGTGATCACTTGTCTTTGGCTATCACATTGATCACCTGGTCTGGAACCAGTAAGGCCGAGAGCTGTTGGTGACCAGCACAAAAACATGCTTCTAATATGCAGCGCCATGGAAGAAAGACCACTTGTGTGATGTTGCATGTCTGATTTGCTTGAATGTGCAGTAAGGGTACATGGGTATGAATTTCCCATTTAGGGAAATTTATTTTCACTTCCTGTACTGAAGACACAAAGAGGAATTTAGAGGAAAGCTCCCCAAATTGAAGGGAAATCCCATTTCAGACAGGTGTCCCCCATTGGAAGACTTCTCTTCGCTTTCTGTTCTGGTGACAACTGTAAAGTTGTGGATTTTCCATTATTTTCTGTCCCTAGCGACCATGGTCACCTTGACAAATGGAGGGGGTAAATCTCTCTTCAGTGGGGACACAGGCTGCAATTTAACAAACTTGACAGGGATTTTAACCCTTTCTTTTTCTATCCAAAGGCAAAAAAGTTATTTATTAAAATGTTATTTGTTCTGCACGTGTAATGAATTGTGGAGACCCAGTAACATTGTCAGAACTGTTAGAAATGATAAAGGAGTATCTGTCATTTGATGGTCATCAGATAAAGTCAAGTTTATATTGTGGGCCCTTTAAATCTGGTCCACCCCGCCACTGGAATGAGTGATATGACTCCTGTTCCTGTGTCTTCCTATTGTACAGGAGCTTGGGCTGCACCGTGGTGGAAATGCTGACCGAAAAACCTCCCTGGGCCGAGTACGAAGCCATGGCTGCCATTTTTAAAATCGCCACGCAGCCAACCAACCCTCATCTCCCCCCAAACACATCGGAGCATTGCCGGGACTTTGTAAAGAGGATACTGGTGGAAGCACGGCAGCGGCCGTCTGCCGAGGAACTGCTCCGTCACCCCTTTGCCCAACTTACTTATTGATCCCCTCCAAGTATACCGCTTTCCCTTCATCAGCCTGGAGACTCTCGAGAAAGATGGACCTTTTTGATGAGGGAAAGCAGTGCAATCAGGAATGAAGACAATCATTGCTCCACCCCTAAGCTGTGTGAAGAGCGGGTTCCAGATCCAGCGGCTGGGTGGATCCACGTCAGTGTTAGAGCTACAGAACAATGTATTCATTGTGACGGTTAGGTGACTTTTGTGGTTATCGTTGGAGATATGAACAGGAGGACGCAGGATGACTTTGAGATGAGTCCGAACTGTGCCAAATTCTCTTCCGTGACAGGTGCCTTAATACCTCTTCAGCCAGGGAGCACATAGACTGGGATAGGCCTTCTATTAAGAAGGGCTTTCCAACCAAGTGTGTGAAATTGTACATTGTAAAGGTTTGTTCTACCCCCATGGCTCGACTTCTTTACCAGATCAGAGATGTCCTCACATCTACCGGGTATGCAGGGGGGTTTCAGAACCAGTGAAAGCCATAGGAGTATTGTATTAGACCCGTTTACTAACGTAGTCCATTAGTCAATGTGGCATCGTTATCAAAGGCAGCTTTCCACTCCATTATATGGTGGTTGTACCAAGTGTGTCATGATGGTTCGGTCTTCGTTAAGACAGTACTTCAGTACCAGTACCCGCTAAGTAACATCAGGATTAAGTTATGAGGCAGAGTTTGGACTGAATCCTGTTCTGTGCAATCAAAACTTTGCAGACCTGGGTCAGAAAATGCAACTTTCTAAGCCTTTAAAAGGTGCCATAGTAGCCAAGGTGCTTTATATTTAGTAGTCTATGCATTTCCATAAGGAGGATATGGCCTCAGGGCTTTGTCTGTGGATCTAGGGAGCTAATTCACTCATAGCGGCACATTTATAAAGTCACGGTATGGTTTTATTTCAGCCATGCTGCTGCTATACACAGAAAATTATAGAGCTGCAGCTAACGATTATTTTCAAAATCGATTAGTTATCCGATTAATCGAACTTAATAATCGGCTAACAAATACATTTTAAAAAATGGCTCCAGTGATGGGACTTCTAGTTTGTATTGAGATTGCAGCAAGCTTGGAGCGGTGGAAGTAAAAAAGAATAAAAAAGTGTGGTGTACAATATAGTGAAATGAAAAGTGTAAAATTATGCAGAATGGCACCGGCTATAGAGGACTACAAAACCCAGCAATAGTACATTATACAGCACAATGCAGAATACCACCAGCTATAAAGGAATACAACAAATCTAAGCAATAGTACATTATACATTGCAATGCAGAATACCACCAGCTATAATGTACTATTGCTTGGATTTGTTGTAGTCCTCTATAGCTGGTGGTATTCTGCATTGCGCTGTATAATGTACTATTGCTGGGTTTTGTAGTCCTCTATAGCTGGTGGTATTCGGCATTGCACCACTGTATAATGTACAATTGCTGGGATTTGTTGTACTCTATAGCTGGTGGTAGTCTGCATTGCTGGTGGTATTCCTTGATTTGTTGTCCTCTATACAGCGCAATGCAGAATACCACCATCTATATAGGAGTACAACAAATCCCAGCAAAGGGGGTTCTTACCAGTTTGCGCAGTTAGGGTCTGGAACTCGCTGCCTCAAGCAGTGATTTTGGCAAATAGTCTGGAATCATTCAAGAAGCTTTTGGACGATTTCCTGAGAGACCGAAATGTACAAGGGTACAGGTACTCTTAAGAATGAGAACACTCAGACACACACACACACACACACACACCTCTACCTTATGTCTTTATTCAACCTCAAATACTATGTAACTATTATACATACAGTGTACAATGTATTGCTGGGATTTGTAGTCCTCTATACAGCGCAATGCAGAATATCACCAGCTATAGAGGAGTACAACAAATCCCAGCAATACATTATAGAGCACCATGTGTGGGAAAGTGCAGGCTTACCTGAGCAGTCTTCCAGCAACTTGCTTCTGAGATCAGGCCTGTCATCCGCCCACACCTGCTCCTCCTTACTACATCTCCCCGCGTCCCTGTGCCAATCGTGGATTTGGGCAGGCGGTGAGTGTGAGGCACGGAGGAGGTGCGGAGCGTGGATGCGGGCGGGTCTGGCAACGGCGAGCGTGAGGTGGGGAGGAGGTGTGGCGCGCAGCGTGTGTGGAGCCGTGAACAGGGGGAGGAGGAGGAGGAGTCACATGACCGGGCTTTCCTGTTATCATGGTGTGCTCTTTGCAGTATTATGCAAAGACACTCCACGCTGTGCTCTGCATTTTAGAAATGACATGTAAATGCTGGAGCAGTGTGCAGTATATACTGCAATGTCTTGCTGAGATGAGATTAGGGGTATCCGCTCACTGTTTAATTTCTAAAGAGCACTCGTTCTACATGCACAGGTCACATTGGAAAGTGCCTGAAGGAGAAGCTGATGTTGGCATCCAGTCATTTTGGTTCTGCAATCTATACTCAAAAAAGAACATGATTGGTTGCATAATGCCCAGCATGCCCACGCAGTGCACCATACTGTAGGATAGTGAGTTACTGTATACTGCAACAGAGTTGCATTCCTTTAGTGCCTTGGGGTGCCATTGAACATTAATGCATGGGCTTTAACTTGGCTATAACTATGACAAATTTGCCCACCATTATTTAGAAGGTATTTTGGATACACTGTGCTCTTCTTTTATATTTATATATGCGGACATTATCATAGCCTTTGTTACTGCAACAGTTGCAGTATTAAACAGAAGCACATTTGCGATCTTCATGCTGCAGGGCCATGTGTAGGCTGTAGACTTAATTTGCATATGAAGCCTCCATCCTGCATGTGATCGCATGATCAAGAACCACTTTGAATGGGACTGGCCGGATCTTATAGTTTCAGCTGCTACCTGTCGATGGGAGGATGTAGACTCGCATAGCCTCAGCACAGAGCATCGGGCAGAGGAATGTTAGTTTACAGTGTGAGGGCAGGAAGGGGATTATTGTGTATCCCTGCCGGTGTGAGCTCTGTTCAGCTCCTAGCTTAAAGGCAGCTTGCTAGTCCTTCTGCAGCCAATCAGAATGGAGCTTTGCTTTGTACAGTGCAGGTTGGCTCTCCCTGTTCCCGCTCAGCTTGAAGCAAGTGTTAACATTGTTCAGTGATTTCCTGTCTCGCTTACACAAGCAGCTTTAGCCAAGAACATCCTGTTTCACAATCAGAAGAGCTCGGCATACGCTGTGAACAGAGAAGTACGGCTCGGCCGTTTGCTGTGTTCCATAGACGCTGAATCCATCGTAAGCGGTCATCCCAACAGCACAAAGAGGACCTGTCACTTTATTGTAAACCTAACAGTATTAAAGAAAATCCTCACATTTAATTTAGCATGCAGTAAGGTGATGGACCTGGTGACTGAACACACAAACGAGTCCTGAGTGAGGTCACTCAGAGAGGTAAAGTAAGTCAGCCATGTTGGGTGGAACAAGTATGACTGCCAATACGTGACTCCCTGGCAGAGAATGGGTTATAAGCTGGTGCAACTGTTATATGTATTCATTTATGTTCCTTCATGTGGGGGGGGGGAACCTGTGCCAAAGGGAATATCCTATTTACTGTATAAATCTCTATAAATATATATATATACTGACTTGGGGCTTGCAGTGCAGAGCCCTCACATTGTATTCAGTTTTTATTTGTTTTTATTTACAATAAAATGGTCATTTATATTAAAATAATTCCGTGTTGTGCAGGGGCATAATTGGAGGACAGTTGTCACCCCAAAACAGGTAAGGCTTGAAAGGACCTACATGAATATTGAAGTATACTTTAATGTTAATATTTGATTGCACTGATTGGGTTTACAGCTTCCTTAATCCTCATGCTTTTTTTCCGCTTGACCGTCAAGGACATCTTCCTTTTTAATCCTCCTTTTTTTTGTGCTTGGCCTCCAAGGGATGTCTTTTCGGACCAGCTCGTGATAGGATGTTGCTGGTGGCAAGAGCACCCGCCTTCCTCAGCAGAAGAAACCTAAGTCTTCTCACTCTCTGACCTTAAATGTCCCTTTTGTACTCTTCTTCCACATCAGAACTCCCTCCAAGCTTGGCTTCCCAGTCCACCTGTAAGGTCTTGCACTGAAAGTCTGTCAAATCCTTACACAAGCCTTCTTTTGCATAAAGGTGGGGTGTTATGCGGACACATGGACCTCTTTTAGTTGTCTGGGTGCAGGAGGTGGTATCCCAGGGTTAGAACCAAGAAACAACCTTCATTTGTCACCACACAGATTACAGATTGAGCCCTCTCAGGTGTTCTGAATCAAGGTGTCCTTTCAGTTCCTGCAGCAGAATGTTTTCAAGGATTTTACTCCAACTTATTCACCTTCCTCAAACCCAAAGCGGTATTGGCCTCGTTTTCAATCTAGAAACTCTGAATGTCTAAAAATGTAACTTGGACTTAACCAAATCTGTCATTGGCTTCCTTTACCAGGGATAGTTTCTGTCTTGGGTGGACATCAGGGATACTTCCCTCATGCCTCCATCTTTGTTGTGAGGTCACGTCCTTCCACCTGTTGTCTGAACCTCTGGTATTCACCAAGTACTGACCCAGTATTAGCCCTGCTGTACTATTGTGGCTGGCATCCCCATTGTGGGATACTTGGATGACATCCTGCTGAGAGGCCTATGTCTGATAGTAGCGTCTTTGGAGGCACTTCCAGTTTCACTTCAAAACTTTGCAAGGCAAATTGGCAGGCAAATTTCCATAGCCAGCATGCCTGGGCCCCAGGTTAGTGGTCTACACCCGGAAAGGAGCCCCTTTTTGTCTTCACACTCACCTTGGCAACAATCATTACAGACCTTATGCCTAACTCTGCTAGTAGATGGTGTTTTTACATGCTATAGATTTATTTCCCAGTATACTCTCCAATATTCCAGCTTCTAGTAATCCTCCATGATGGCGCCCACATTTCATACAAAATGAACCATTTTCTTTTATACTGGAGTAGGGAGCTTGGGTCTTAAACTCCAACGCCTCCAACGCCCGCCAACTTCACCATACTCTGTTTTATGCAAGTATTTAGGACCTTCAAAGCAGGAAGGGGCAGAGACGAGACCAGTCCGCCCACACAAGGAGAGAGCAGCAGTGACTGGTCTTTATTACAGGAAGGCTCCAGGTGTCACACTGGATTACTGGACAGATCTGGCAGAAATCCACAAAGCTCTCCAGGATTCAAGTAAGAATACACCTGACCCCTTTTTATTGAGGCAATGTTTGCTGATAATGGAGTTCAGCTTCAACAGTAATAAGGAAGCAGTGTTCAAGCTTTTCTGCTGCAATAACTATGTAGTAAACCCGCAGCACGTTGCATCACATTCGCTTTCTCAATTAATAGCACTTCTGTTCTGCATTCTGATTTGCTTTCTCAATTAAGAATGCAGAACAGAAGTGCTATTATTTTGCACGCACATTAAAGTGTATTGCCCAAACATTTGTAGGAAGGCATTGAAACCCACATTAGACAATTTACTGTTTGCGTCCTGCTGGGAAGATTTCCTGTCTCAGATATACAGCAGGAAGTGAGAGGAAATCACCCCAATGTCAGAGGAATTGCCCTCTTAGTTGTCACCAGAACAGGTGTCCCCATGGGAAGATTTCCCCTTTTACCTCCCGCTCTCATGACAAGGCTCCAAAGGAGTGAAGTTTCTCTCACTTGCAGTCCTAATGACCTGGTCACCAGGACAAATGGGGTGAATCTCCGCCGGCAGAGAGTTTTTTGGGGTTGGGTAAGTAAGATGTAAACTAAGAAGAAGTGTAGTTATCTGTATGACAGTTTTATTTCCACTATGTAAAGTATTCCGGGATTTTGTTCAGTCACCCCCTTGTGTGGCATACTGTTTTGACACATTAGAGAGTCATTTCTAGTGTGCAGGGTATTGCGGGGAAGCTAATATAAAGATAGTATAAGAACCTGAAGTCTAACCTTCAGATGTAGTTTGTTACAGAACAGTGCCAGTCCAAAGGGCCAAATGACTAAACCAGATTATTTCTGGAGTCCCAGGCAAGAACAAAGGGCAGTATGCAGCGTACTCCAAGGCACATAGACACCTGCGGATGGGGCAGCAGGACAAGGAAATGGCCACATGTTGATGGACCTTAATGTAAAAATACTTTGAAGAATGATGCTTAATTCGGAGTGTCCTACATGGTATAACCCTGCTGCAGATAACAAGCCATCACTTCTCTTCTTCTGCAGTTGCTCATATCACCACTAGATGGCAACTGGTTAAATCAGCTGCTTCCATTTATCAATGGGCAATCTAGGAGGACATTGTACATGGCCATCTGGTTTCCCAGCATGCTTTGTGGTCCGATTGTATCGTTCATTATTATAAATGCAGCGTGGCAAGAATTATTTTTGTGTGTACAGAGGCAGAGTGAAAAACCGCTTGACAAGGGTTAACGTGACTGGGCTTACTAAAGTCGTTTTTGAAATGCCATTAACATGTAAAAAATCGCATATTATATTTTAATTATAAAGCTAGCTACAGATCTAACTTAGTGATCCTGCCAGGGAGCTCTGGGAAAAACAAATACACTTGCAGTGGGGCCCCATCCCCAAGAGATAAATGCTCATTTATGCCTAGGGTACCAGGAACAAGGACTTGTACTTGCCTCACTCCCCTGGCACTCAACGCCTCTCCCTGACATGATGACATCAGAGTCTGTGTGAGCACTGAGAAGGGGCTGCATTGTCACTTCTGCCCCCAGGGCATTACTTACTACTGACCTCTCTGCATTACACACCCCTCATGGAAGGAGCCGAGTAAGATTGCTTTTCTTAGGGCTTCTCAGCCACGCTCAAAGCTGGGTGACCAGTCCTGACAGGATTTTTGACAGCCCGTGTAATAAAACTAATGGGCAGCCATGACAGGTGTCGCAGTCCTCCATAGAATGATTAGGTGATGGTTTCTATATTTAATGCCAAATATGTTTGCGGTGTAATTGCTGTTTGTCAATGGATTCAATGCAGGAACTGTTGGGTTGCTCCACAGCAGACTGGACTAAAAGTTGTAGATCGCTTTTCTGGCCTTACAGGAATTGATGTATATTTGAATTTTATTAGTGATGTAAATATCAAAGTTAAAAATGCCTCTTGTAGAACCATGCCCATTTTAAATGAATGCCCCACCCCTAATGTAAATTTTTTTTTTTTCTCCAGGGACACCTTTTTTCGCTGTGTACCCAGCAAGCCAGTGTAGAATGTAATTTTAATGTTAGCAATTTAGTCACGTGACCAATAACTTTGGTCATCTTTCAGATCACGTGATGTAAAAGATCTTAACTAAGAGATAAAGGAAACTAAGTTGCTTTGATCATGTGACTGGAACCGATCATGTCATGTGACTGGTCACATGACATGATTACACAGGAGGTCGTGATCAGAAAGAGCCAAAAATAATTTAAATAAGTGATCATGTTAACAATATGAGTTAACTAGATACATTGGCTAAAGAAATGAGTCTGTTCAATCATAAGTGGATTAACATTCTGATCACATGATGGATTCTACAATCTCTACTGTGTTTTTAGGAATACTTCCTCTTTCTAATGGACTGTTTCCAATGGACTGTTTCCAGTCACATACCATACACATGGACTGGTCACATGATTGAAAAGATAACAGGAAAATATGTTTTACATGTGAGAGAGTCCTCCTTGTTGGTGGCCCACAGCACCAGAGCAGGCCACATTTGGAATGCTCCTACCACTTGGGGGCCATTGCTGGTGTGCTCTGTGGTTTTCTAGTAATGGGTGTAAAAAGCATTCAGACAAACAAAGAATAAGAGTCCTCTGTTCCTAGAGAGAATTTTATTTTACAATCAAGGCTCACAGAAGAATCTTCTGTTTTTAAAAAACAGTCTGTAAACAAAACCCTAAAGCAGTGCAGGGTATGGATACCCCTTTCATCAGCACAGAGGGCCTACCATCCCACAGTGCAGCAAAGGAGGTCAGGAATGTTGCGGTCTCCCTTAGCCAATAAAAAGGGAGGAGGAGAAAGTGGTAAGGGTCCTTTCCCTTATTGTGGGGGAATATATGCAGGAGGGAGGTGAGTGACGGGGTATGCCAATTTTGAGAGAAGATGGTTAGGCCTGTTTTGGTCAGGTGATATCTGAATGCACAGACGAGATGAGTATGTCCCCTGAGGTCATTGTGCAGAAAGTGGGAGAAGACGGCTGTCTGGTTCAGTTTGCATTATCCCTGTAAGAACAAAATGGCCATCGTCCCGCTTCCTGCCATTACTGCACCTTTTGGTCTATTCTGCGGAATAAAAAAAATCAAAGAAATTGCAATAAGTGCGTAACTTCGATCACTGCTGCCCCTGCCATTCCATGGATCTCATATTAAAGAAAGGCAGCAAAAGTGGCCAGCGATTGTTTTATTGTGCCCAAACAATAGCTCAACATGGCGGCTGCTGCTAATGTCACTACTGCTAACAAGGCTGCCCTTTCACCCACCTCCCCCCCTGCTCACCACAGCTCCATCATAGAATGCCAGACTTAACTATACATAAAATGAGATTGACAATGACAGGTCCAAGGAAAAAACTGTGCACTTCGAGGTCTTCAAGGCCCAAGTGGCATCTGATGTTTGCAGTTAAGTGCTCCCACCACCAGGAGGAGATTAACTGCTTAAGCTACATCCTATCTTAAAAAAAAGTGCCTTTTATCTGCATTATAACCCACACGGAGGCACACAATCGCTCCACCCCCAGGTGCAATGTGGGTGAGGAACAAAGAGCCAGGCGAGTTGCAGGTGAGTAAACCCCATCAAGGAGCTTTGTCCCCAGGAGCCTCTTGTTCCTTGTGGGTCCACAGATCCTTGTGGGGTCGGCGTCCAAATCCTTCGTCGTAGTTTCCTTTGCTCTTAAAAAGTTGCTGGAAGTGAGGCTTGCAGTAAAATTCGCCGTGGAGGGCAGCGTAGGAGCCGAGGCTGAAGGAAGAAACAGGAAGTTAGGAAGCTCAGTAGACAGGAAGGAGGAAACCAACCTTAAGGCATTGCCCCCTTGCAAAGAAGAAAACCATTGACTCCCGGGAATGTTCTCCATCAAGAAGCTGAGCCACATGAAGAATCTTTGACATACAGATGCTGAAGATCCTTTGGCTGGCTTAGCTTCTTGATGGAGAACATGGGAGTCACTACACTAGTATTATAGATCTTATCATATAAATGTATGGCTTCTAAACTGTACATGGGGGCAGCCATATTGGCTCAATAGTTATGCAGGCTGTGCTTCCTAAATAGCAACACAATAGGCCACTGTGCTTCACTGTTCCTGGCTCTCAATACCACAGCTATTCACAGACTTTAGAATAACTAACTGAATTTATCTCACCTGAGCTTGTACCGAGAGCAAATGGAAGCTTCCATGGCTGGGGCTCTCCTTCAGAAAATGCTAACTCCCCCCCATGTTTTATGGTGGACTTGGAGCCACTGTCCTGTATTAGTAGCACGACTTCTTCACTGCATGTGCATGGGAGCAGATCTGTCAATCTGTCATTATCCCTGTCTGGGATAACCATGTCTAGGGGTCATGGGGCCTTTTAGGGTTAACAATTCCATTGGTGTCAAGGTTTTGAGAAGGAAGTTAGTGGAAAAACTGTGTGGGGGTTGGCTCTTAATGGTCACAGAATGGGTGCAGATCTGGGAACTCAAGCAGAGATATCACCAGCAGAGTCCTTAAGAGTAAGAAGTGAAGTAAAAGTGTTGGACCCGCAGGGTTTGTTGTATTGGAGTGGCTGGCCAATGAGGATATATGAAAGAGTCTGTATCGGTGATCTATAGCCCCAGAGGATCTCCACTGTATCCTTGGTTCGTAGTGTCAGATTGCAGTTGTTTGCTTTTGTTCTCTCCTAGCCCTGATGAAGGAGGTATTTGTGTGAGCTCTTTCTATACGGTCATTGCATAAAGATGTATCTGGACTAATAAACTAAAGCGTGACCCCCCTTTTACGGAGTATTTTGTGTTATTAAACAGGCGACATCATCACTGTGCACCCCAGCCTGACATCACACACCCATCCAAACAGATCACAGATGTACCCAAGCACCCACCTCAGCTTTGTACTGCAGTGCTTACAGCAGAAGCATCTGTTGTGGAAAATGTGCTTATCGGCGACCAGTCTCTCCATGGGGTACACAGTTGTCTGACAGGACGAGCAGAGCTCTCTAACGGGGGGCTTCATACTGAAGGACTGCAGAGAAAGAAGGGCTACATTAGTGGTATCTGCGCAATATAATCTTTCATCAGACCAGGAATAAAGATTCAAAGTAGACACTGGCAAGTTCCGTGCAGGTCGCCGCCTCCATGGCAGTTCCACTGGGGGAGCATCCTTGTCCAGTTTTTGTTCCCTTTGCTGGGTCTTTCAGTCTTCCCTCACCTTTTAATCCATCTTTTTCTCCAGCGCTACATATCCCTTAAATGCAATGTGTACCGAGTGTATGGCATATATATATAATAGGGATATTTGGTATCGGAGTAAGAGTACCGATATTTTGCTTTCAGTACTCGCCGGTACCGATGCTTTCGCTGGTATGGAGCTGGCACTCAGGAACCTGGCCGGCGGGTAATGACATGCTGCCCAGCTTCCTGATTGGCCGGGAAGCCGTTTTCCTGGCCAATCACAATCAGCCTGGAGCTGTCTTCCTGGCTAATTGGGAAGCCAGGCAGGAGTAATGACCCCCCCCCCCCCCCCCGG